GGGGAAGGGGGGAAGAGGGGAAGAGGGGAAGGGAGAGGGGAGGGGGAAAAAGAAAGGGGGAGAAGGAAGGGGGGAGAGGGGAGGGCTGCGGTGAGCCGGAAGCTCTGCTCTCAGTGTGCATGAACTGCGTGGCTGGCCTGGGCCCCTCAGGAGTTGAGGACCCATGGAAATGTGTACACTTTGAGGACCTGGCTACCTCCCTCACCCACAGGCAGGACCCGAAAGGTGCAGCTCACCTGGAAATGGTCCAGCATCTGCTTCCAAGACAGGAGCAGCAAAGCCTCTTTCCGGACCTTCCTGGGGATCTCAGAGTAGAGGAGGGAGTTCTCTCGGCTGCCATAAGGCATCCCTGGGGGGAAGAGGAGAAAAACAGAATGGGTGACATGGCCCAGGACAGGGCCGTGCCAGCCTCAGGCTCTCCGTGCCTGGGCCCAGCTGGTTCCTTCTGCTTCTATGCCATCCTGCCAGCACAACCTGGCTGCACGCCCCTCCCCAGAGAAGCTACGAACCCAGGTTTAAGCATGTCAGCAGTAGTACCGGATCCTCCACGGCTGAGATGTGTGTGCTGAATGTTTGGACTAAATTACTGAAGAAACAGCACACAAACACAATAGAACAAAAAAGGGTGGTCAGGGCTATCCAGCTCTCCACAGGCGAGGCTCCAGTCAATTCCTTTTTAGTAAAAGCTTTTGCAAAGGCCAGGAATTGCTCTAGGGTTAGAGCAAGTGTGTGTCTAGTCAAGCATCTCTTCCCTTGGCACTGGTGACACTGGGACACTCTCTGGGGGACGCCCTGGGCACAGTGGCACGTGGAGCAGCATCCCTGGCCCCACCCACTCAATGCCAGGAGTACCCCTAGTCGCGATGACTGTAGATGTCCCCAGATGTTGCCCAGTGTCCCCTGGAGGGCAGAACCTCCCCGACAGAACTATTGACCTAACCTTATCTGTAATATGATAGCAGCTGCCCAGTGAGGATTCTGTGTGGATTCAATGAGGTAAGAAATATAACGCACTTAGCAAAGGCCTGGGATATGTCACTCAGAGGTATCAACCTAATTCCAGTAAGTTGTAATTTTTCACATCTTAGATCTCTGATGTTGAGATGTATCTTATTACTGAAGTGCTGTCCTGTTCTTAGTGGCAAATAAAATAATGGCAGATCTTCCAACCGGTAGTGTCTTTCCTTTGGATGGATGACAATACAATTGCTGTTAATAAAGTTAACAGCAGAGCCCTGGCCAGTGCTCAGTGGTTAGAGTGCTGCCAGTGCACCCAAGAGTCACAAGTTTGATTCCCAGTCAAGGGCACACCCCTGGGTTGCAGGTTCGATCTCTGGGTCCCCACTGGGGTGTGTGTGGGAGGCAATCAATTGATGCATGTCTCTCACATCAATGTTTCTCTCTCCCCCCTCCCCCCTCTCCTCTCTCTCCCCTTTCCTCCCTTCCTCCCTTCCACTCTCTTTAAAAACCAATGGGAAAAATATCATTGGGTGAGGATTAACCAAAATAATAAAAATAACTGTTCTGTTTACAGTTATCTTTATAGGTAGCTTCTCGATATGGCGAGTGACATGGGTTTTCCACTTATGATAAAGTTGCTCACAAAGTACAGTTAGCAAAATAAAAGCAAATTTAAAGAGAACCATTAGGTTAATTAGGGTTCCTTTAAAAGTAGATTTAAGGAAAATATAAAGTTAACTCAGATGTGCAGGTGGGCAGCGCTCAGAGTTCGATGCCTAAGGACCCTTTGAGCTGCTTCCATTGGTTTCCTTCCCAGCTGGAGGCGCAGACATGACACTGCCCGGCCACGCTGCCCACAGCACACGCTCTGGACAACCCCGTCTGCAGAGCTCTGAGGGGCAGCTTTCCAAATGGGAAGTCAAGGGTGTGGCCTTGCCCAGGATACTGGGACCACTTTCTCCCCAGCTGATGGCCTAGGCCAGTGGTCAGCAAACTGTGGCTCATGAGCCACATGCGGCTCTTTGGCCCCTTGAGTGTGGCTCTTCCACAAAATACCACGTGCGGGCACACCCGTACAGTGCGAATGAAACTTTGTGGCCCATGCACAGAAGTCGATATTTTGTGGAAGAGCCACACTCAAGGGGCCAAAGAGCCGCATGTGGCTCACGAGCTGCAGTTTGCCGACCACTGGCTAGGCTAGCACATTCCCTGGATGAGCTGCCCGCAGCACCAGTGACGGTGATGATCGGCGTGCCAGGCAGGGGTCTGAGATAACCAATGACTACCGCTGATTTCTGCCTTCGCTGCCCCCCTCTGCCTTCTCATTCCAGCTCCGTCCCCTCCTCCGGGACAGCACCCAGCTCCAATGCAACCACCGTCCCTACCACCATGCACTGTGGCCTGGGTGACTGGCCTGGTGGGGGCACAGGACCCTGGATCTGGACATAGGACACGAGCACACCGTGGTCTTGTATTTCCTGCCTAAGGGGCCCCAAAGCTGCCTGGGGCCCCGCACCCTCTGTGTCCTACATGAGAGGCTCACGTGCCCTGGGAGGGGCCGGAGAGCCCGGAGAGGCTTCCTGACGCTGCAGTTTGAGCCCTGGAACCTGAGCCACCGCCATCCCATCTTCCTGGCGGCAGCCGCCGGCACAGTCCCTTCTCTGACCCACCGTGAGTGCACTGAGCTCCATCAGGCGCATCTGAGCCTTCACTGAGGACTCAGTGACTGGCTCTACATGCCCTGACTGGCAAAGCCTGGTGCCCACTGAGGAGGCAGGGGTCCCAGGGAAAGCAGGGGGGAGGTGGTGCTTAAAGGGGCAGGCTAGGCATTGCCCTTGGAGGCCCCTTCTGCTCCATCCACAGAGTCGCTGACTGCCAGCATTTGCTCAGGTGCTGGGCTAGTGCAAAGCCATATTATAAATACTTGGGGGGCTCTGGAGAGGGCTGTCCCAGAAACTTGGACATGAAGTGAAGTCAAGGGTACCTTGAGGATATTGAGTGATTCAGGCCGGATCAGCTCAGGGGTGAGCAGTGTCACCCCGAAAGAGGCAGTACAGAACTGAACTGTTCTAGGCACACTTCGGGGTCTTTGCCGGGCCCACAGCCCTTGTCAGGGGCCGCCCCTACTCACTGGGATGGGCCCTCAGAGCCTCCTGTGGACTTCAGGAGGCCCACCCCAGCTGCAGACATACCCACAGGCCGTGACCAACTGGCCAAGTGGACATCTGACCTATGTTGAGCCATCTGATTCCTTCTGCCAGAAACCCATTTCTGCTGTTGGCTAGAACCCTAGATGAGAAACCCTGGGCGTGGACGGCAGGGCAGTAAAAGTGAACCCATGGAGAACACACGCAGGGCAGCTGCCTGGCTCCACAAGGCATGGAGTACCATATCATGAGGTCTGAGAGGGGAGGGGTACCCAGAGATGCCCCTGCAACCTGACTACGAGGTGTACTTGGTGGCACAAAGGAGCTCAGAGGATTTCTGTCCCTTCCAGCAGCTCTGTACATGGCTCTCAAAGATGTCCACACCCTAATCCCCAGAACCTGTGAATATGTTACATTCTGTAGCAAAAGGGATTTTGCAGATGGGATTAAGTTAAAGATCTTAAACTGGGGAGATTAGGGTGGATTGTCTACATGTAATCATGCCTTATAAGGAGGCAGAGAGAGCCTTCAGACACAGAAGAGGAGGCAGCGATGTGACCATGGAGGCAAAGACTGCGGCGATGTAGCTACAAGCCAAGGAATGCCAGCAGCCACCAGCAGCTGGAAAAGGCCGGAAACGATTCTCCCTTAGAGCCTCTGCAGGGAGCCCCGCGTGGCCCTGCCAACACCTTGATTTCAGCCCAAGAAACTGATTTTAGACTCCTGGTCCCCTGAACTGTGAGAGGATAAATCTTGGTTGTTTTAAGCCACCTCCCTGGTGGTATTTTGTTACAGCAGCAGCCCTAGGAAACTCATATAAGTACCCTGACCTGGATGGAATCTGAACTTGAGTGAGTGACCAAAGAAAGTGGAAAAAAGGGATTGAGGGGGGCCAGGAAACTGCAGGAAAAGAGAGGCAACAGCTCACCAGACTCCTTGAATCTTGGCCACTTTCAGTCCTAACAGCCAAGCTCCTCCTTGGCTAAACGAAGCTTGAAGCACACACATCCAGCCCTAATTTCTCCCAGGCTAGACCTGGCAAACTGTTTTCTGTAAAGGGTCATACAGTAAATATTTTCAACTTTGCAGGCCATATGACCCTTGTTATATCTGTATTCAAAAGCAGCCATAGACAGAAATAAACGAGTGGGCATGCTGGGCATCAGTAAAACTAGATTTCCAAAAGCAGCCGCTGTTGCTTAATGACCCCCATGCTGGTCCACTGCCTTCCTGACCCTGTGCTTGCCCAACCACCACCTGGGTCAACCCCGTGGGTCTCTGTGAGGGTGACCTGCATCGACTGCGGGAAGCGGCGAGCCATCTGATGTCCATCTAGGTCACAGTCACAATCATTAGCATGGGGTTAACCTCGGGCGAATGACTTCATTCGTTCACTCCATCACTCACTCCAATACTGACTGAGGGCAGAGGGCATGACCAGGAATGGGCACTGTCCCAGGGGCTGAAGATACAGAGAGACTGATCTGGGCCCCAGAAGCTGAGAGTGATGAGCACGAAAATCTGCCTTGGTCAACAATCATGTGACACGTGCTTTCAAACACGCTTGGAACTGTCTCTACCTGCTCCGTGACACCTTTAGGTGAAGTAGGGCAACATTCACTAGCTCAGCAGATAGTAACTGTCTACCTCCTAGGAGCCAGGTTAGGGCTGGCTGCTGAGGGTACCCTGTAGCTTCCCACCTGGCCCGGCAGAACACACATACAAACAACTGCAGACGTGTAGAATGCTGCTCCAGAGGCGCACACCCGGAGGAGGAGGAAGCGGCCAGCTGTTAGCAGGCTTATCCAGGTATCTGGGGCAGCTGTGCAAAAATGTGGCAGGCCATCCTCTGTTGTTAAGACAGGGCATACGATTGTGCAATCACAAGAGCTTTCAGGAGCCTTCTTTTATTTATTTATTTTAATCTCCACCCAAGGATGTGGTTTTATTGATTTTTAGAAAGAGTCAGACAGACATCGATTGTTTGACTCTCATACTCTCCCTGACTGGGGACCGAACTCACAACCTAGGTATGTGAGAATCGAACTGGGAACCTTTTTAGCGTATGGGATGATGCTCCAGCCAACTAAGCCACCTGGCCAGGGCTTTCCCCGAGCTTTCTTAACACTTCACTCCACAGCCAGAGCCTCCTGGAGCTACTTGTGGCTCCCGCTGCGGAGGGAGTCCCACAGCTCCCAAGCCCAGGGGCAGGCCCAGCTGGCCGGTACTGAAAACTATCTCAGTGGCTCAGGCCCACGTTCCAGGCCCGAACCATAGCCCCTTGCAGCACAGACGGGGCGGCCCTGGCCTCTGCCCGCCTCACCTGCACAGCTGACTCTCCTGAGGACCCTGGGCCGGACCTTCCTTGTGAACAGATGTCCGTGGCGGGCATGGCAGTTTGCGCAGGGCAGGCCCCTCTATTTGGGCCTTCTAACTAAGAGGGCCAGAGACCTCTGGGCACTAGAGGATTTAGTAACAGCCATCCCAGAAACCCTGTCCTGCTCAAGGGCAGCCCCCGGGCCCAAAGGAGCCTAGGGGCCCGCAGGGACACAGGAGGGCTTACCTAGGTAGTAGAGGCGGTGGGAGTGGGGGCTTGACTCATCTGTCTTCTGCACAAACTGGAAGTCATGGGGAGCCTTGTTGACGATCAGGCCTGAGTTCTTGCGGCTGTCGTGGATGATGTTCCGGAGCCCTTCCCACGAGTGCTTCTGCACCTGGAAGTGGGTTGCCGGGTCCTCCATCTCGACCGTGTCGCCTGGGTCCGACATCGGGGCCCCAGTGGCCATCCTCTCTGCCCCCTCAGAATTCAGTGAGAAGCTATGAGGAGGAAGGGACAGACGGGAAGAAAATGAGAAGGGAAGTGGTACCCCAGTTCCATATGGGAGAGTTTTCTTGTCAGACACTCCAATTCCCCCTGCCAAGCCCCACACTGTGCAGCCTTCCCTGTCCCCTAAATATTTCTTAAATTGTTACACTTCCCTCCAACACCGTGCTGGCTAAGATCCAAGCCACCGTCACCTCTCAGCTGAATGATGGTAACTGTCTAACAACTCAAAACTCTTGGGGGTTTTCCCTTCAGTGAAAACCAGTCCTCATATTGGCTTTCAGAGCTCTGTCCTCGGCCTCGGCCACTCTCGAACCTCATTCCCTGTCATCACTATGCCCCAGATGAACTGGCCTTCTCTCAGCTCCTCAAACAGCCCAGACTCCTTCCCACTCCAGGGCCTTTGCTCATGCTGGTCCTTCTGCCTGGAACACTTTTTAAACTCCTCTCTTTGCTGAAGTAACAGCAAATCAGATCTCAGCTTAAATATGTGAGGTCCTTAGAAACTTTCTATGACCATCTATACCAGTGATGGCGAACCTTTTGAGCTCGGCGTGTCAGCATTTTGAAAAACCCTAACTTAACTCTGGTGCCATGTCACATATAGAAATTTTTTGATATTGGCAACCATAGTAAAACAAAGATTTATATTTTTGATATTTATTTTATATATTTAAATGCCATTTAACAAAGAAAAATCAACCAAAAAAATGAGTTCGCGTGTCACCACTGACAGGCGTGTCATAGGTTCACCATCACTGATCTATACCAAAGCTGGTCTCTCCATTAATCTTCCACATGCCACCCACAGAGAATACGTCACAATGGTGGTCTGTCAATCGCCTGGCTTCCCCCATGTCTGTCCTATTCATGGAGGTGTCCCCAGAACCTCACGTGGCCCCTGGCACAGCAGGCATTCCACAGAGAGCCATGGAAGACCACTGGCCCTTGCACAGAAGCCTGAGCACAGAGAATTAATTGCCAAACCTCATTACCTGTGCCATCAGCTTGCTGGTCAGCAGGGAAAACTTGTGCCTCACCGGAGGCACTCAGAGAAGCAGGCAGGTACTGCCCGGGACCATGAGATCGCGGTGAGAGCGTGCATGTGCACACCCCCCCTCAGAGGCCATTCCCCTCCAGAGCAGCTGTGGCCGTGCAGAGGCCCCCGCCCTCCCTCTCCCACCCACGCTGCTGAGCACACTTCTTGACCAGACTGGACCGGCCAGGCAAATATTTGCTTTAGAGAAATCTAAACACAAACATGGTGACCCAGTTGTGGAAGAGCCAGGCCATCTCACGAGGCCATCAAAACGAGCGCAATGAGCCGGGTGTCCTGCCCTCAGTCAGAAGGAGCAGTCAGTTCAGCTCCTCCTCGACCGCAGGCCAGCAGAGCCTTCAGGGCCCTCGGGTCAAACAAACCGAACCCAGAGATGGCGGGAGACTCACTGAGGGGTGATGGGTGGGACCGGCTGAGCACTCCAGAACCCACACGGACCCAAGCACCGCCAGCAACCAGCCCAGAAAACCAAGCCAGGGGAGCTCCTCTCACCACCCAGCCCTCCCAGACTCTGCTACCACAACTCAAGCCTTGTTCACAGCAGAGAGACAGACCATGACTTCCAGGGTCCCCAAAGGGAACCCCAGAAGCAAAGAGCCTGGAGAAAGCACTCACAAAGTCACATGGCTTATCTCCACAACAAAGAGTGATAAAAAAGATCTTGCCTCCAATCGCTACAGAGAGTCCAGGGAGCGAAAATGCGATCCAGGAGATGAGAAATGAAATGAAACATCGGAGAAACTTCTAAGAATCTTCGTAGATGCAGTGGGGCAGCCCGAGCTCCCGGACAGGCGAAGGCTTGGTGCTAAGTCAGGCTCACCACTAGCCTCTTCTTCCCAGAGGCAAAGCCCTGACTGCAGGAAGAGGCTGGGGAAGAGGGACAGGTGGACGAAACGAGGCCCCGGTGAAGCAAGTCTGTGCCGCCCTTCCCCATCCAGCGCCAGCCTGTGCTGGCCTTCTTGAGTCAAGAGTTTACACAGCTGGGAAATGAAAGTGGACTTGAAGCCTCTTAGGCCATGTCCACCTCCACTTTCTTTCTGCCAATCGGTAGGGCGCCTTCATGGCCTGTGACGCCACCAGCACACAGTGCAGGACCTCCGGTTCAGCCACTGCCAAGGCCTGACGGAAGCTCTATGATCTCGGCCTGAGCTGGTGCTCCAGGAGCTGGGCCACCACCCGCATCAACCAGAGACCCGAGTGAGGCATGTGATGAGGGAAGCAGTGGAAGGCAAGAAGGGAGGCGGGTGCTGGGCAGGGTAGGTCAGGAGCCGGGGGCAGGGGAAGTGGCGTTCAGGTCACTCCCTATGTCCCTGAAGCTGGGGGTTCCCAGGAAGCAGCAGGCTCCTCTCTGCCCAGCACCACAGAGGCCCCCAGCTTTTAGGACCAGCCTTACACAGAGTCAGTTTGCAGTCCAGCCTGTGCCCACCGGGACCTAAGGCACACGAGAAGAGAGACATGGGTTCCCATCACTAACTGATACCTGACCTGCTCACCATCAGACATGGGGGCTGCATGTTCTCAGAGCCTGCGTTTTGGGAACCAATCACCATGTTTAGCATCTTCCAGCATCATCTTTGATACCTTCCTGCCTCCCCACAAGCAAATGAGCCTGAGATTGTTAGAAAACTGAGACTGACATAGGTCAACTGGTCAAGAAATTCCTACAGTTTCTTCAATTCATGCCAGGCCCCACACGTGGGATTTACCAAACTCACGAATCTTGTGTGTGTAATGACCTTTAGTCCTCACTGTAAGCTTGGGAGGTGAGTTTCAGGCTCAGCTCTATCTGAGAGCCTGCAATGTGGGCTCAGAGAGGTCAAATGGCCTGACCAATGTCACCCCCAGGGGAGGGGAGCCCAAGTCTGTTGGAATCAAAGCTCACCTCCTAACCACCAGGTCAGCAGTGCTCAACTAGGGCTGATCCCGTCCCCAGGGGACACTGGGCAATCTCTGGGGACTTGTGTGATTGTCCTGACTGGGAGTGTTCCTGACATCAAGTGGGTGGGGGCCAGGAATGCTGTTCAACAACCCACACTGCCCAGGACAGCCTCACAGACAGTGATCTGGCCCCAACGCCAGCAGTGCCAGGGCTGAGAAACCCTGCACTGGCCCACACGGCCTCCTCACGCCAAATAGCCAGAAGTTCCCCTTAGGGAAATGCAGAGATGTAGGGGGTGAGGGTGCAAAGGCATCTTCCCAGACCTAAGACCCTGCAACATCCCCGGCGATCAGAGCTCCCAAAGCCGTGCGCTCACCTCCTCCAACTTCCTGTGTTCGAGTTGTTGTCCAGGCGTAGCTTCTTAACCGTCCGCATTAACCACTTGGCTGATCAGGAAGGTGGGGGAGCCTGCAAAGGGAGAGACCACAGGGCTGCAACTCCCAGCAGGCACTCCAGGGGTGCAAGCTCTCCCCTTCCTCTCCCGCTTCTCCCTTCCTCTCCCGCTTCTCCCTTCCTCAGGCAGCCCTCCATCCGCCTGGGGAACACTCCAGGCCAAGGCCGTTCTGATGCGGTAGGTGGTTTAGGCCCTGGCCTGAAATTCGAGAGGGCGCCTGACATCTGCCAGAACCCAGCATCACTTTGCCTAGCAGCTCTCCCAAGGTGAGAAGTCCCTGAGAAGAGGAGAGTGTCAAATGGCTCCAAGAACCCCACCCACACACTGGCCAGAAATGGAATAAAGCCAAATTCCCCACTGCGGATGCCCCCCGACGGCCCTCCTGACCTCCCCGGCTCCCCTGCCCTTGACCATGACCTCCGGCACATTGGCCTTACTCTTCCCTAAACACACCACTCTCATTCCCACTCCAGGCCCTTTGCACTTGCCAGTCCCTCTGCCTGGGATACCCTGTCCCTCCTTTTTGTATGACCTGCTTGCTTATCCTTTGGGTCCCAATATCACCGCTTCAAGAGGTCCTTCCTGGCACTGAGTCCAAAGTTGCTAACTTGTCACCCGTATCACTACACCTGGTCTTTCTGCACAGCACTTGCTCTAGGGCAGTGGTTCACAAAGGGGACCCTTGGTGGCATCTGGAGATGTTTCTTGGTTGTCACCATTGATGGGGGTGGGGGTGCTACTGGTATCAAGTGGGTGAAGGTCAGGAATGAGACTCAACACCCCACCATGCCCAGACCTGTCCCCACAACAGGGAATGACCTGCCCCCAGGGTCAGCAGTGCTGAGGGGGAAACTCCACATTCATTATTTGGGGAGAAAGTTTGAGTTGGATCCTTAAGCTCACAATAGACACCAGAATAAAATCCCTGATGGTATAAACCAGAAGGACCCCCAGTGGCTGTGAGTCACTTTCTCTCTCCCTGTCAGGTATTTAAATGTGTGCAGCATCCTAGGACCCCAGCAAATCCAATGACTAGGGAACGCAGCAATATCTCCTGCGGGGAGGGGTGAATGGAATCCCCTAATCCAGGGTGTCTAACCCGGGCCAATTCTGGCCCCTGGGGGACACTTTTGGTTGTCACAGCTGGAAGGCATGCTACTAGCAATCTGATTGGTGGAGACACAATCCCACGATGCACAGGATGGCCCTCTCCCTGGCCCCAAATATCACTAGTTCTGAGGCTCTGAACCCCTGCTGAGTGAGTGAGCACTCCTTATGGGATGCCCGCTCCACGAGGGCAGGGCAGCTGTCCTGGCCCTGGTGTGTCCTGAGCCCGGAGCCATGCCGAGCACAGAGGAAGCACTCAATAAACACTGTGGTTGAGTGAATTTGTCACTGCCCTCCCCTGAACACTGTCTAAAGCCGAAGGGACCTCTGGTTTGGCTGGCACCCAACAACCTTCTCAACAAGCCAGGTCCCAGGACAACAGGCAGGTGCCCAGATGCTTAAAGAAACAGCAGGACAGGGACCATGGAGGAGCGGTGAGGCAACCTGTCGCCACAAGAAGCACTGGTTTCTGGGCATCAGAAAGGTATGGGTCCAAATCCTGGCTCTGCCACGGCCAGGCTGTGTGACCTTGGGGAAGTCACTTAACTTCTCTGGGCCCCAGTTTCCCCAGCGATCAAATGGGACTGCGGTGGGGCTACTGTGAGGATTACATGAGATTGCACAGGGAAAGGCCTGGCAGAGCAGAAACTACATGACGGCTAATACTGCTGACTAAGCAAGTTATTTAAAATCACACCTAGGGGAGAACTGGACTCAATCAGGGACCAGAATTCCCCCCAATCACGGACCAAATACCAGGCACTGTGTTAGGTGTGGGAGGCTGCAGCCACACCTCTGCCAAATTCGGCTGGAATCAGCACTCTCACTTTCTCATCCCTGGTCTTACAGGGGGTACATCCGGGTGGGGGTGGGGCAGCTGGAAGAGGATGCTGGACTCAAAGAAAAGCCTCCAGCAAAAGCACACAAAACCGCAGCTACTGGCCTGGGTCCCAGCCGGCTGGCCCTGCGGGCGGTGGCCGACCCCAGGGCTGTAGAAACCCACTTCCTGCCAGCTTCTGTGTCCTGGACCAGGCAGATGGATCCCACCAGCCCACACCCAGCCGGCATGGCCGCCCCACCTCCGCGCAACTGACCTTCTAAAGGGTCCAGAAAGCCTCCATTCCGGCGGGTGCGGGACACAGACCTTGAGAGAGCGAATGTGTCCTGAACACAGTGGGTTAATGGAGGAGCTGACCAACCCCGGGGGAGTCTGGATTGCCTGCCTGATTCTCCCAGCCCTGGCCCTGGACCACACCTAGGAGGAAAGTCCTCCCAGGGCCCATTCCCCGGGGCTCTGCCAGGGACACAGGGATTGGCGACCACAGCGCACATCTGGGCTCTAGTCCCAGCTCCTCGAAAGCACGGCTGTTGTTTTAGTTTGTGTTTTTTTTTTTATGGAGACCAGGGACTTCCTCACGGAGGGGGAAGGGAGGGTTGACAGGGGTGGTGGCAAAGGGGAGGGCTCCGTGGCAGCATCGAGGTCGGG